CTGAGCCATCCCACATCGTGGATGAGTAAAGAGAAAGAGGGTTTATAAGTAGAAACAATTCATGAGATTGTAAGACTTATAGCATCAAGACTCTCTCTTGCGCTAGTAGGGGGTGCAAATGTGAATCAAACTAGCTTTGATTAATTGAACTTGTGTACGAGCGTGCGTCCTGCGGACAAGAATGCACCATCAATCGACCAGAAAAAGTTTAGACACATTTTGTTAAAATTTTGTTTCCTCCTTTTTCATAACTGATGTATTAATGGTAAATATTTTCAGTTTTGATTAGATAATTAAAACCTGAATCAAATCGATTTTGGTTTTCATTAAATAATTAAGAAGTAAATCAATACCGTATTAATTATTATTTTGTCGATTAAGAAATTTGCTATATAAATGTGTCACTCCTCCAAACATAAAACACACCGAAAACAACAAATATCTACTTCTTCCTTTTGTGTTAACTTCCTGCTCTGTCAAGGTAATTTCCGAGCTTAGTTCGGTCCGGCGGGTTTGAAGAACCGTTGCTGCTGTTGTATCCTGGGAAACAAACGTCCGATAGTGGGACGGATTTGTTTTAAGGACACTGTGTTTCAACATGAATTAAAGGGTTTTCTTCACGCCTATAGTGGACTTTCACGCTCGTGAAACATGGACAACAAGTAGGTCCTTCCGATTTCTCTTCCGTGATTTCTCCTCCTCGTTCTTGATTATCTTTTTCTTTTCCTCGTTTTCGGCTTCACCTTCCACATTCTCTTGATGCATCTTTTCTTTAATCACCTTGAGCATGCCTTCAATCTTCTCATACACAAAACTATGCAAAATCTATACAAAAATACATATCAAAAGCATAAAAACTATCTCCGAAAGAACTTCAATCGTGATTAGAGAAAGCAATAGAAAAGAACAAAAAAAAGGCACGAAATGACTAAGCTAAAGACTAAAAAGCATAAAAGACGGAACTAAAATATACAAAATTACGTTAATAAAATGCACTCAACACTAGATATACAGTTCTAGGGGTTGAATTATAGTTTACATTATATTTACTTCACTTACTTAGAATTTAGCTATTCATGTATCGTACAAACACTATTTCATTATCTAAAAAAATAGTTTTCTAATAATTTAAATCATATAAATTTATGATTAAAATATTAGATTAGATCTAAATACACATAAAGGGTTTGTCCCAAGGCTTACATTTGTCCTCTTGTTCAAAGCTAGTGTTGTCCCGACTAATGTTTCATCCCAACAAACAACCTAACCAATTATAAAAGAAAAGACAAACCCAAAAATATAAAAATTAAGAAAAACAAGAATAAAAACACGAGCTGTAAAAAGACCATCACTATTCCTCAATAACAATCAATTAGAATGTAATAAACACGATATTTGTTTGTTTACTATACTATACGGTAAAATATATATTATGTTTATCAATTTATCTTTAAACTTATCGTTTCGTTATTGTTCTATTTAACCTCTTATTATCTACATGTCTCAATTTTTTGGGGAAAAATCGATAAGTTTGGCATATTTGCGTTTAACGTTACGTTATGTTAATACAGATAAAAGGGTTAAAACCCCTTACGTCTTTTATGGAAAATAGGATTGGGAGACAAAAGGGTTTCGAAACAAGCGAGATAGAGATAAATACATATGTATCTTAGTCTAAACACTTATCCTTTTTCTAATAAGTGGTACAACAATCAAATAGATATCTTCCCCATACGATTCAATATCGTGACCAGAATCTTAAACGATCATGCGATAGTAACCAAAATGACCAAACATATTTAGACCAAGAAAGGTTTTCAATAAATTATGACAATGACAAAATATATACTGTTATCTTAATACATGAAACTAGTACAAACCCTTTAACAGCTCCGTCCTTAGAAGAGCGGCATGGACGTATGCACAGGACCCATAAATATTGGGGATCCAAAAAATTTCTAAGTATAATGTAGTAATCTAAAAAGATAATACTTTAAATATAAGAGGGAAAACAAATTTAATAGATAATAGAGATCCAAAAATACATCAACTAATTACATTGGAGAAGGGGAAAAAATAGTAATTGGCTATTCGTTATATGTTGTTGTTTATTGGATCTCTAATATCTTTTATTAGGTACCACGATCTAATGCTATTAGCTATTTATATCTCTATATGCTTGACTCTTCTAGTGCTTCAACAATTCAATTGATAACAACTTTAATGAAGCTCATGTGTTTGCTATTACTGTATGTCTTTGGGATATTTTTATCTACTTCTGCTTCTATTGGTTGTTGTTTTTTGCTTAATTACTTTTGTTGACTATTGTTATATATTTTTTCTTCTACATATGTCAATCTTAGTCAATTCGGACTTCCACTTAGTTTCACCCAAACTTCATCCATGACCCTTGGATGCCGAAGAGAAGGATGAGGGTTGAGGATGAAAAAGAACCAAGCCTTAGATCTTAAGAGAGAAAAGTTAGCAGGTTTCCTTCAAAAATAAATCTCTTGAGATCACAAAGGAAAGCTCCAAATGGCCTCCAAAATCTATCCTAAATCCCCAAAGATGATCAGATCTAGAGAGGGAAGGAAGAGGAAAGAGTTGAGGAAGAAAAAGTGACAAAACCCCAAAAATTGCGGCTTAAAAACCCCGAACTGGTTCCCACGACCTGGGGTTGCACGGCAAGTCGCGCGTATCACTAGCCTTGCCAAACAGAAACATATGTGGCCTGAGCCGTGACCCAAGGTCGCGTGCCAGATCGCGGGGGATCCATTTTTCACATTTTCTCCCACTTTTCACGCCCGATTCGTTCCTCGTTAGTTCCACTAGAATAAATATATAAAATCTTAGTAATTTCCATATTAATAATTAAACGAATTTTCGGAAACATAAATGAGAACTTCCAAAATCACGAGTGTTAGAACTATGTTCAAGTCGATCAACCAATCCAACCTAATCTCATTAGGCTTGGGTAATATATTATAAAAGTTTTGAACAAGTTGATATTTTTCTAAGCTAAAGTAGTTGAGCTGGGTTGTTTAATGCCATCAACCCGGCTAACCCAAGCCATGTGCACCTACACCCCTGTTTATTTTTTCAATCTTCGATCTTGTGTTTCACCTTCTCAACCAAGACTTCGTAGTATTTATCTGTCAATCGAGTATAGAAAATAGGAACCCCTAGAGCATCTGAAGGCTAACATATATGATTGATTGTCAAACATTGCAAACATAATAGACGTATCTTTGCCTTTTGGAAATACTCAGAGCCAACCCCAAATTACTAGTAAATTAGTTCTTTCGTTGTAATCTTTATCACTCCAACTCAAAAATGCATCCAAATGACAATATAGAATGGGGATCATCCACAAAACATAGAGGGGTTATTAATTTGTTGTTCACTTCGACAATGGTAGCTAATTAATATTTCCATCGTCCTCAATTGCACGTTTCAAAATGAAGTTCAAGATCTCCATAATGAGGGTACACAAATTAATACGTACGGGATATATATGATAAGGGCAAATTACATCAACAAGGAGAAATTTATATTAAGAATAAATGCATTTGATTCTCAAAGCACGAATTTAACTACTATATTTAAACATAACAAACTTTAAAAAAAATTAAAATCGTTGAAGATTACGTATCAATTGTTTCAAATTAAATGAACCTTTTCTTTTTATTATTTATCATGTAAAAACAAAAAATTAAAGAAAGAAAAACAAACAGAAAACATGAAATAGAAAAACCGTTTTTTTTTTCTTTCAGAAATGGATAATGCTATAAAAGTCACCTTCTGTAACAAAGACGTTGTATCAATTCTAAGGTCATTCACAGTTTCACACCACGAATCCCGACTCCTAACGGGCCCAATACCTTATAATCTCATGCTACAAAGCTGGTTTTTAACCCGATCGAGGGTTCCATGACTTCATCTTACGATTTTTCTCAAGAAATAGCATAGTTTTTAGCGGCCTAGTTGATAGAACTAATTAAGTCGTCTTTAAAATGGTAGAAGTAGAAACATAAGGAACTAATTTTTGACAACAAAATCTATGCATTTCTACATAATGAGTTGAGAGAAATGTACATACATTTCCAGCCATATTAATTGCAGAAAGGTAATAAACACTTTTGACGTAAATTCATCACATCATCTTCATATTTGAGGTACCAATTTGAGCCTGGTTAAAGGAGTCTAGACAAGTAGACATGCCTTATTTGAAGGTCTATAGACATAGCCTATTTGAGCCACCAACTAAAGGTCTCTTTTAGTTATATATATATATATATATATATATATATATATCATATGCAGGTTCTCAGACTTTCTCTAAGCATTTTCCTCTTTCTTGTAATTGAATACACTTGGGAAAAAAAATAACTTTGCATAAAGTTCATAAAAAGGTGAAATCAATGTATGCTCAGCTCCTATAAACACAATTAACTTATGAATTGGCCAAAAGAAATATATGCATGAATTATGCCCTGAAAAAGCAATCGTAAATAAATAATCTGTACACATTTTCTCTCTCTACATTTCATATATATACGAAAGGATAAACATTAAACGCTCTCACATCATCTTGTCTGTTAACACTTGATGGCGATGGTGAATGAACAAGTGTTTGTATATGAAGAATAAAAGGTACGTACATGACGAAGAACACGACGAACGGGAACCACAAACAACTACTACTTTGAAGATATTAAGGTTAAGTTCACCTATTTTTCATATGTTTTCTGAGAGAATATGCCTGAATTGAAAGGGGATATCATTTTTTAAATACTTCTACACAAGTACAAGTTAAGAGCCCATGAAGCAGAAGGAATATTTCTTGATGATAAACTGAAAAAAATAATTGTTTTTCCCATCATCCACTGTAACCAAGTAGCCATATCCCCTCCTTTGTGTCCTCTCTCTCTCTCTCTCTTTCTCTCTCTCTCTCTCTCTCACTCATTTTGTGTGTGTGTGTGTATGTGTGCAGAGTGGGCATGTGCATGATGGATGCATCTCGAGGAGGAGCTCATGGGGATGCTGAGAATATCAATATAAACGACCATGAACAGATCCAAAATAAGGAGCATGCTAACAGCAACGTTGATGGAGCCACTGAAGTTCAGTTCTTTCATGGTCTTCTCCGACGTATACCTGTAAATAAGGTCCTCTCTCTCTCTCTCTACATTTCTTTTGTTTCTCTTAACCAAGGTGACAAGTCTTCTGATTAATTCTTTCTTCCAAAAATAGTGGATTTCTGTCACCCTCTCTCTCTCTCTCTCTCTCTCTCTCTCATTTGTTTGGCGAGTTGGTGACCATTGACACTATTTCCGTCTTTTGCTTTGATTCTTCCAAGAAATAGTGTTCGATTTCTTGATTTTTCAAACCATCTTGCCCATGTGCTGTTATAAATCAATGGTTGTTTTTTATAAAGTTGCATAAAAATATTATAAGAATGAATTAAATCCAAACTAATTATAGAATGTGAAACACGTATGTTGATTGTTTTCTCAAAACCATACGTATAACGTTTTGTCATACGATACGTGGGATAACTTTAAAATGGTAGAATCTTAATTGCAAACGTGTCTAATCTTGTATTTAAGCAAAATCAAAATGGTGTGACAATACGAAAGATGGGTTTCCAAGAAAAAACAATATGGAAAACGATTGCATTTCGCAGTAATGATAAATGGTCCGGAATTTATTTGGCAAACTTATTTCTTTTACTGAATTTAAATTTTTTTAAACGACCTTGAAAATCCAAAAATGATAATTGGAAAGTTAAATACTTTGTCGTTAATCAGGACCATTTCATAAGTGCAAAACAATGCAATCGGAAACGAAACGTAAACAAACTTTAATTAAATTGTATTATCGTTTCTAGAATTTAGTTTTCAGCAAACATAAAACAAGACGGAACGATTTTTCGATGGCAATTTCTTTAAACATCTTCAACTCGAATTGGAACGGTGAAGTCCTCCCGTTTATTGTTAATACAAACATTAATTATTTATTAAATAATATGAAAATAGATTTAAGCTTAAACTCGTATGTTTTTTTGGTTTGTTTATGTGTTGGGAGGATGTCTTTCTCAATCGTTTGGTACATTAGAAACCATCTTTTTAATAGACAACTTACTATATGAAGTGTTTGGTGCTTTAGAAGCACCTTTTTATTACAGAAAACTTGCTACTTTTATAGCCTTGGATTGGATTAATAAATTGTTTTTTTGACCTAAACGTTTTGGTACAAAAGAGAACTTCAAAGCACATATATATATGTATATATATATATGTGTGTATATATATATATATGTGTGTATATATATATATGTGTGTGTATATATATATATATGTGTGTGTATATATCTCTAACAAAAAAGACATGCGAAATGTTATAAAAATAATATAAAATACGTGCAAGATTTGCTGATATTTCATTTCTTCAAAATATATATCGTTAACATAAAACAACAAACAAATCATATTTACAAAAATGGCTTAAATTAGAGTAATTGTGATATTATTTTTCTCTGCTTGTATTTTGTTCTTAACTTCACATGTCATTGATTTTAAGTAATATTTTGAAGTAGTAATAACTTAACTAAATGTATATAGATATGTAGGTAAAAATATTGTGAACATTTTTAAAAAAAAATGCTATTATAATTTTGCAAACACATTATGAGCATTTGTTTAGAAATATTATTATTATAATTTATGAACACACTCTAAATCAACGAGACCGACATAGATTGTGAACATAATGTCAACATCAGTTATAAGAACAAAATAATATAAATTTACCACTTATGAACACATTGTAAACACCCTAATACGAATTTTCATTAGGGTTATTTTCATTGTGTTTAGAACGTATTTAAGTGTGAATGTGTGTGCTAGTATGTTAAAGAAGAGACAAGAGGAGATAGATGTTTATAGAATTTGAATTTTTCCTAAAATTGCATTAATTATAATATTAATTGCCTCATTAATTATCTTAAATTAATAGTTTATGATGGATCCCATAGATCTTATAAATTGTGACATTCTTAAATGATTAAGCCCCTAGGTGTATGTGTGTAGGGTTTGGTTCACGTAAGACCAGACTGTTTTTGTAAGACCTGTGAGACCGCTTTTTTACACTTAAAATTTGACAGGAAAACACTATAAAAGTAAAAGGAATCTGAACCTTACAGCAAAAACACTGTGAAGGTTACATTTATAGTGTGTTGTTGTGAAATTGCAAGTGAAAAAAAAATGGTCTAACGGGTCTCACAAAAACAGGTTGGTCTCACGTGATTCCCAACTCTCTCTCTCTCTCTCTCTCTCTCTCTCTCTCTCTCTCTATATATATATATATATATAGAGAGAGAGAGAGAGAGGGGGGGGGGGGTTTACTTTGCAAACCACGTTTGAGGGTGGTTTGCATATGGTTTGTATAAATTGGGTGGTTTGCATTTGATCATTCATCTCTAACGTTCATCAATAAATATATGAAACAACACATGTGAAACATATAATGTTATTTCATATATAAAACACAACAAACTATTTTGTGTGTGGAAAAAAACGTGAAATCCATTTATACATGGAATACACGCAAGAGAACGAAACATATGAATAATGGGGAATCTAGAAACTTTGGTGACTGTGGGCACACCTAGGAATGTCAAAAACCGAATAAACCACATGAACCAAAAAGTTTCCCATATGTTATTCAGTTTTTGGGTTTAAACGGTTTACTTAATCAAATAAGAATATGTTAATTCGACTTGGTATTAGAATATTATATATATATATATATATATATATTGATTAAACTGAATAACACTACTATCATTTTATATATTTTACTTCTAAATGAATAAGTTTGAACTTGTATAACA